CAGTTATTTTAATGGATTTATTTTTATTATTTTTCTCTCTCAGAATACGTACAGGTGGGGTGCCACTCTTACTACTACTAATAGTTTGTTAATTAAAAAATATGTAAATATTTTACAAATCTAAATTTTTGTTTTAGAAATTGCAACACTCGAATAGAATAGTTATTTTTTGCTTATCAGAAAACCTACATAGTTCTTTGCTTAAGTCCTGTTGAATTCTTTTCTCTCTCAATTCTTTATTCTAATTTTATTCCATATATATTTCAATATTGGAGTCATTCTGGAACAGTAAATATATTTTTTATCAATCACACACAATATGGAAGGCTGTGTGATAGCACCAAATTTTGATAGTTGGGTTTTTAGTGGGAAGGCGCTTTTCCATGGTAGGGAAACGTAAATAAAGCATAAATAAGTTAGCCATATTCTTAATAATATTAAAGATTTAAGAATATCAACTAAAGTCTTGTCATATTACAACAAAAATTGTCTGTGAATTATGATAACTAAATTTTGTAAATTTTTGGCAATATTTGAGAAAAACTTTCTCTTCGCTTGAAAATTGTATTGTATCATGCGAACAAATGATAATCAATAACTTTTTTCTTACACAAGAATTCGCTGCATGAACTCTCTTCCTCTAAAAAAAACTCCAATGAATCACCTTCAGCGAGCTTTAACCCTAGTTCCGTACAACCCTGTATGTTAGTTTGAAAAATTGTCAAATGAATTGAAATTTGAAATTCTATTATTTTAGCGTGTATACAATCTTAAAATCTCATTCTTTCCAATAACTTTTAAAACAATAAAACGAAACAAGTGACATGTGTGATTAAAGAAAACATAATTGAGAAAATAAAAATTCTCTTTCTATTTGTTGTTTTGATTTTAAAAGAATTTGAAAAAAAAAAAACAGAAAAAAAAAATTAAAGAAACTTTTACTCTGTAATTATTTTGCTGTCTAAAAGTTCTTATATAACAAACAAAATACACAACTTTAGTTCAATGCAATTCAACTCAGTGCAATGACAAATAAATTAAATTGTTTAACCTTTTTAAATTCAATGATAAGTTCAAAATCTTTTTGATTCTATTATCCTAATATAATTATATATGTATGTACATATTGTATATATATGTACATATATCTGCTACTAGATTTCTCCTTTGCAATGAAATTTTATTAACATACTTTCTGTTTATGTTTTTGTGTATATGCTTGTTGAGTATATCAGGATTTTGTTTTTCTGATAGAAAAAAAAAGGAAAATTTCTTTTTCTTTATTATTGTAATCGCCGGAAACCAATTCAATTGATGTATGCCGAATCCAATCGACAAATTGAATGTATATACACATATTTATATGCTCGTATATTTATATAGTACATACATTTTAGTCGTTTATATACATATTTCTTATCTAACATTCTTATTATTGTAGAGTTTTAGAAAATTTCAAATAAAATTAAAAGAGAATGTGTTGCTTATAGTTCCATACTATGACTATTTATTCGTCCGTGCGTCTGTCTGTCTTATTCTTAAAGGGAGTCACAAAACTGTGACTCCCTTTAAGAATAAAAGTTGAAATCACTTATATATGAATTAATATTTGGTATTAATATTAATAATACTCAATACTAACAAAATACCAATTTTGTGAAACCCTAAGGATTTTCAAATTTATTTTGACCAACGGTAAATACCTTAAAGTTATCGTAACTCAGACGTCGAATTTGCTTATTTTATTTGCGCTTCTTTTAATTTTGGATCTTATCCTGAAAATATGCAATTATTCTCAATTGTATCATGTAATTTTCACGTATTATTTTGATGAAATGTATCATGTAATTTTGATGAAAATTATTTTGTCTTTGATAAAGGAAATGAGCTACTATATAAAACCGTAATTGGTTTAATTCGAGTTTATTTTCAAGTATTTTTATAGATATAGATAACATGTGCATATCTTTTATTTTGTTCAAAGATATGAGAATCTATAGCTTTTCGATATCCTTAGTTATCCTGACGAATAGTGAGTAGTACGGTTCAATGAAATTTATATTTGGTTTTTCTTTTATTTTGGTGAAAAATGATAAAAACAAATTTATGGTTTTCTTTATTTAAAAAAAAAAATATTTTTTTCTTTGCTCTTTTTTCAGTGCTTTTTGTATTGGTTGGAAACGAATATATTTTTCGCAAGGAAAATGAAGAAAAAAAAAATTAAAAGACAAGAAATCCCAATTGGAGTTTTTCAAAATTTTTCTCAGGCTATGGCATTGTTTCTGATTTTTCTTCATTTATTTTTTAAGCGTTATTTTGGTGTTTTCGATTCATTCTTTGTTTTATTTTCGGTACATAATAATAATTGAAAATAATTGGAAGACTGACCGAATGGTTTGAAACTGTTGATTTTGAAATTTGTATTTGAAATCTTAATTATTATTTTTTTTCATAGTAGATATGTGAGGCTTTATAAAATTTTGTATTCTCTTATATAGGGTAATTTTCTGTTGACATTAAAAATTATTAAGATTCTAGCAAGTAAAATCATGGGCAGTAGAATTTTAAATACAATTTTAACACAATAATTTTAAGTACAACTTCTGGTATTTCGTTGAAAATTTGAAAAAATTCTCAAAGCTATGCCATTAATTTTGCGAATTTCTTTATATTCAACAGTGTAATGTTACAATATTTAATTTTTTATGTAATGGCGACTTTAATTCTCTGTTAGCTACGTGTTGGTATCCATATATCGTTTATGTTATTGAAGGGTGTTTTGGGTTTTCAAAAATTATTTTCACTACAGGGTTATAATTAAGCGAGTTTTGAAAATTTTAGCCTATCCTTTTTATGAAATTTTACGCCAATCACTACTAATTTTCAAGATCAATGTAAAATCAAAAATTTGAAATTAAAATTTCTTTTATAGGCGCTTCAGCTTTTTTTTTTATTTTATTCTTTCCTCCATACAGCAAACTAATATGAGTGCATAAGGATTTCAAATTTTTGTTATTTGCAGTGTTATTTATCAACTAAATTTAGTTTGATAGCTAATCACTTCCCGAAATTTTACTGCCAATTAGTTTACTTATTTACCATACACACAATTACTCACATATTATATAAAATGGAATTATATTAAATTCTTTTCAATTTTTTACAACCCTGTATATAAAACTAATCAAAATTTTAAAAGAAACCCAGAGTCGATAAATTGAAATTGCAGCGAATTCAATTGAAAGAAATTCATTCCTTGTATTTTTCTTAAATCTTATCTTTGCAATTTTAAAAAATTTTTATTTTATATAGTAAAAAATTTTAGTTTGTATACATACAGACTATGAAGTAACGTGCTTTTATTTGAGGAAAATAACAATATAATCAATTGGAAATTCTTCGATAACAATATAGAGGGTGTAATATAAGTGGGATAACTATTGTAATGATTATATGATGCACATAAGAGTAAAATAAAGAAAAATATTGAAAAAAAATCCAATTTGTTTTGTCTACATTAAAAAAAATAATTTAAGAATTCTTTAGACTTTTGTACATTAATTCTGGATTTTTGGATATTAAAATTAAAATTGAGAATTTTCGTTTAAATGTACTTGTACTTAAAGATTATAAAGTTGTGTGAAATAATCTATGGGAACTTTAAATTTTAGTCAACATTTGTTTAATTCAATGCGGCGGACGGTCTCTTTAAATAACTATTTAAATGTACAGCAAAGTTTAAACATATTCGTAATTTCGTTTCATTATTTTTTAAGCGATGAGTACTCTAAAAGACCCTATTGAGGCTGGCTTCAAACATAAAATTGTCAACGAGATCTGAATGTTTTGGATCGCTTAAACCGAATATCTTTTCAAGAATGAACTATTTCAAGTTAACTAAAAGACTGAAGAGTAATTGGAAGTTTGTTAAAATCATAATGAGCAATAGCTATTTACAGTTATACGGCACTTGAAATATAATGAATAAACTTTAAAATTAAATTGGTAAAATAAACGTATTTTTTTCAAAGACTACCGTTATTAATAATAAATTACAACTTTTGTAGCAGCTATCATTCTTTGCTTTTATTGGACACGGCACTCTAAATGTCTATTTGCCTCTTATTATTTAGGCAATATGCGAGTACGCACGTACCCAATAAGTATTAATATTTTCTTCAAACTCACAAATATTTGAAAGTTTTATAATTGATGCGAAAATAATGATTTTTTAAAAGAGAGAAACTTGTACAACATTAATTTGTCGATTTTTAGCAAAACTTGAGTAATTTTTCATAATTTGTACTCGAAAGTTTTAAAACGGCAGATACTGGGCCTTGCATTCTGTAAATTATTTCATTAAATTTAATAGAAGATATACATAGATTTTAAATGAGGAATTAACATATTACATAATTCTTTTTTTTTTAATTTCACTTTGAGATTATTTGAGTGCTCATCAAGTTAATGAGAAAAATTTTTTATAAAATTTATAAAAATCTGTTTTTTAAAGTCGACGCTTTGAATTAATTACAAAAATTTTTAATTTACGTTCTTATCATGCTAAAGAAAAAGCTTAGAAATTCCCATAAAATTGTAAATGCTTGTAATGTGTTATGTCCACGCACATTTAGATGTACGTAAATAATATATATGTGACGGTCAGAAAGAGTAATTTCAGTATTTGGAAAAGTAAAAAGAATCAATGCGAAATTTCTGCAAAACTGCGTAGCCTTTTTGAACTTTAAATGGTTTAACAAAAAATAATATAAAAATTCATAAATGTTTGCGTGTATGTACAAAATGACAATTACGGGAGGAGAGAAAAACCAGAATTTTTTTTTATTGAATAACTAAAAAAAACAACTTTAATCAGTAATCAACATTCAGCACAGAATTAAAGTGAATATTTAAATTTTTATTAGAAGCAAATCAAGCAAATTCTCGAAATATAAAAAAACAGTTTGTTTTCGATCTTGATTGCGAACGGTTTACTTAATTGCCTCAAAATGACTTTAAATTTTTCATTTAAATTTTTATTGATAATTGTTTTTGTAGAAGTGATAACAGCTTTTAAATTTGATTTTATAGAAAATTTTCAATCAAAGATAACACCAGGCTTTGTTGATTCCAATACAGGTTATTATAAAATTTTGAATCAATATGAATTGAAATTTAACTTGTCGGAAATATTTGGTGAAAACAATTTTAATATTTCAAAATACACAATTGTCAGTATTTTAAAATTTAAATATACTAATGAAGATTATTTAGGAATAAATGTATTCGACTTAATAGTTAGTGGTTATGATGAAAATAGATGGGAAATAAATTTTTATATTAGGCGTGATAACAATAAGATTTCAATAGCAAATTCTAAAGATTTTCAATCTACATTTGGTCATTACGATGTTCCGAAGGAAACAATAGTAAGTGACCTTCAGAATTTTTATTCTATATTTAATTGAGATTTCAAGTAAATTCAAAAAATTATTTTAGTTAGCTGATGATAGATGGCATAAAATAATTATAGAATTTGATAAAGGAATTTTTCAGTTTTGGGTTGACTGTCAACATATGATTGAAACGAAACCAGATAAGAATGCTTATGAATTTTTGGGTTTCCCAGAAAATAGAACTTTGAAAATTGAATTAAGTCCAAAAAGATTATTTTATCGATCTGCTGATGTATAATGAAACTTAAGGCTTAAAATTGTAAAAAAAAATTTTTAAAAAATTTTTCTATAATTTTAGTTTGAATTGAAGTCTCTACAATTAGTAACTGGCGCAGACATTGAAGAAATAAAAAAAAATGATTGTTCTGATGTTCCAAGCTCAAATAGGAAATTTAAGCTAAACGCACTTAACATTTTAAAGGTTGACTCAAAATTTTATGATAAAGAAAATGATTTGTTCGAATTTAAAAATTATAAAGAGCTAAAAGGTAAAATTAAAATTTTAAGCATTTTTTTTGGAAAAATACGATTTTATTCGTAAAAATCGAAATTACTCGAGAGTTTAGTAAAAATGCTAACAATTTCCTTTCTTCAAATCTAGAAGAGCTACAGAAATTTTATCCCAATTATCTTCAATACAACTTTGATTCAAGAAATTTTGTTGTTGATTTTGATATTCAGTTCCCACAAACAGATGAAGTTGAAAAGGATAACAAGGTAAATTTATTCTATGCCATGCTGTTAAATATCTGCATTTTATGATAGAATTATATCCCATAGATATTAGATGGAAGATGGCATAAGTTGGCATACACTGCTAATGAGAAAGGTGAAATTAGAGTTTATGTTGATTGCATTTTTATTGGAAATTACACTTTGTATAACATTAAGAAAAATCTAAATTTCATCAGATCTACTTCGGTAGTTGATACAATTTTCGAGTTAGGACTTCAAGATGCGATGGTATGTACACGTACGAAATTTTAAAATATTTTCCTTAACCTAAAAGAAATTTTAGTTTAAATTAAAAAGCCTAAATATTAATAGTGAAGAGACGACAGAAGAAAATTTAAAATCTATTTGTCCAGAACATAAAGGACTGGAAGTAAGAATTGGTGTCGATTAATTAAATTGAAAAATATTTTTAACTGCATAATTTTTATAGACTGATACTTTGCTTAAGTGTTCAGAATTAAAGAAACCTTTTGAAGATTTAAATTGTGAGGGTAAAATATTTGAAAATTGGAAATTCAATGGCATTGAAACCATCAAAACTACTAATAATAAAATTAATACTCCAGAAGGTGATGTCTTCAATTACGATGGATTAACTAAATTTAGTGGTATAAAAATAACTAAAAAGCATTAATAAAACTACAAGATTAATTATTTATTTTTTGAACTTCATCTAGGTGATCTTGCTGAAGATAATCCCAATTTATTTGCTCCGAATTTCAATTCTAAAGATTTTAGTAGTGTTTATATATTAAAAATAAAAAATTTCAATGGGGAGAATCAGGAAGAAACTGTGATTTACAAATATTTTAAAAATTAAATTAATTTATTTAATGAAATTTTTATATTTTTGATAGATTTATGACGGAAATTGGCATAAAATGTCAATTTTTAGAGCTGGTAATTTTTTTGATATTTATTCCGATTGTAATGTAGTATTCAGGTTTAATGTCATTGAGAATGCTGGGTATATGAATTTTGATCACAACTTGAATTTCATTAATGTTGATGAATCTGTATCAATAATCCCATTTTATGGGAGATTTGATGGTTTTGATGTAATTAATCAATTGATAAACAATATAATAATTAATATTCACTTTGTATATTTTAATTATTTCAGATTTACATCCTTAATTTCACAGTTTACAGTCCCGCAAAACAAATTAATCCTGAGGATTGTGCAGACATTATAAAGTTAAATAAGAAAAATTAATGACACATAATTAAAATGATATTATACATATTTAAGAAAAAGTTTATTTTAATTAAATTCATTCTATTTTTAATAATTTTTTTTTTGAGTTTTGTAGTTCGGAAATTCAAGCATAGAGTTAGAATCGCCTATTCTTCTTATTAAATTTTAAAAATTTGAATACGACTGTTTAAAACCTATTTAAAATTTGATCAGTACTTCATTGAAATATGTGACTGAATTCAATCACTGTTTAGATAATAATTCATTATTATTTCGCATTTTAACAGTGTTGAGTAGTTGCAAAGAAAAACTAATTTTTGTAATTGTCAGAACTTGCCGAAATTTATTTAATGAAATGTTTGTATAACCGTTTTTGTATTACCGTTTGTAACGCTAAGAAATAATGCTCTGAGATATAGACTCAAGTGTATGTTTTTGATCAGCGTTGAATTCTGAGTTGATTTAGCTTTGTCTGTCCGTCCGTCCGTCCCAGCGATAACTCGAAAACTAATTGAGCTAAGTTCACCAAATTTTCACAAATGATTTATTGTATTAAGTGCCAGAACCCTATTTAAATGGACATGATCGGGGTAGCTGCCATGTAACTTCAAAATTTACTTAACTATATCTCAGAAACTATAAAAGCTATGGTATTGAAATTTACACAAGCGAATATATTAGTAGGGCCGATGTGCTTGATAAAATTCGTTAAAATTGCTTGGCTCTTTCTGGTAGCTGGCATACAACTTTAATAGTAGTTTGGCAACACACAGTATTTTGAAAAACACAGTACTGAAAATTTGCATTAATTAATATGGTAATACGGCAACTTAAAGTCATAGCCTGTCCCATAGTCAGTTATGGCACATTTATTCGCACATAGGATAACAAATTCGTACGGGTATCACAGAGTTGACAAGTTGAACTCTATTTTTTCTCGTTTTTATATACAATTGATTTGAGAAATTCTCTCAATTTTCTCTAAAATCTTCTCTTTAAAAATTTAATTGATTCCCCTTTAATTTTTAAGAATTTAGTGTAGAAGTGTAAGGTATTTGAATATCACATTAAAAAGGTGAGTGACCACAACATTATTATTTTGTTGCACCGATTTAAACGTGTTTATCATAGAAAGGTAACCAAAAAAAAAAAAATAAAACCAGAATTTTTGAATATTTTAAACAAAAAGCAAAATAGCACAAAATTTTTTTTGAAGTAAAATAAAACAATTAGTTTAGTTTTGTTCTTGAGCTCGATTACTTAACAATTTCGAAATGAACTTAAAAGTTTTATTTAAATTTTTCTATTTAATTTTTTTTTGTAAAATAATTACAGCCTATAAATTTAATTTTACAGAAAATTTTCAACCAAAGATAACACCAGGCTTTGTTGATTCCAATACAGGTTATTATAAAATTTTGAATCCATATGAATTGAAATTTAACTTGTCGGAAATATTTGGTGAAAACAATTATAATATTTCGAAATACACAATTGTCAGTATTTTAAAATTTAAATATACCAACGAAGATGATTTTGGAGTTAATATATTTAATATAAAAGTTGGGGATTATAGTGATAAAATATGGGAAATTAATTTTAATATTTGGCGTAATGAAAATCAAATTGCATTATCAAATTCAAAAAATTTTCAATCTGCATTTGGCCATTATAAGGCTCCGAAGGAAACAATAGTAAGTGACTTTCAGAATTTTAATTATCAATTGAGATTTTAAGTAAATTTAAAAAAAACTATTTCAGTTAGCTGATGATAGATGGCATAAAATAATTATAGAATTTGATAAAGGAATTTTTAAGTTTTGGGTTGACTGTGAACATATGATTGAAACGAAATCAGAAGAAAATACTTATGAATTTTTGGATTTCCCAGAAAATAAAACTTTGGAAATTGAATTGAATCCGAAAATGTTAACTTATCGTTCTGCAAATGTGCGTAGTTTTATATTAAAAATTTTCAAAGTTTAATTATAAAAATAAAATTTTCTATAAATTCAGTTCGAATTGAAGTCTCTTCAATTAATAACTGGTGCAGATATTGAAAAAATCAACAAAAATGATTGTTCCCATGTTCCAAGCTCAAATAAGAAATTCGAACTTAAAGCACTTGACGCTTTTAAAGTTGTCTCAAAATTTTATGATAAAGAAAATGATTGGTTCGAATTTACTAATTATAAAGAGCTTAAAGGTAAAATTAAAATTTTAAGATTTTTTTTGGAAAAATCGAAATTACTCGAGAGTTTAGTAAAAATACTAACAATTTTCTTTCTTCAAATCTAGAAGAACTACAGAAATTTTATCCCAATTATCTTCAATACAATTTTGATTCAAGAAATTTTGTTGTTAATTTTGATATTCAGTTTCCACAAACAGATGAAGTTGAAAAGGATAACAAGGTAAATTTATTGTATGCCAAGCTGTTAAATATCTGCGCATTTTATGATAAAATTATATCCCATAGATATTAGATGGAAAATGGCACAAGTTGGCATACACTGCTAATGAGAAAGGTGAAATTAGAGTTTATGTTGATTGCATTTTTATTGGAAATTACACTTTGTATAACATTAAGAAAAATCTAAATTTCATCAGATCTACTTCGGTAGTTGATACAATTTTCGAGTTAGGACTTCAAGATGCGATGGTATGTATACGTATGAAATTTTAAAATATTTTCCTTAATTTAAAAGTAATTTTAGTTTAAACTAAAAAGCCTAAATATTAATAGTGGAGAGACGACAGAAGAAAATTTAAAATCTATTTGTCCAGATCATAAAGGATTGGAAGTAAGAATTGGTGTCGATTAATTAAATTGAAAAATATTTTTAACTGCATAATTTTTACAGACTGATACTTTGCTTAAGTGTTCAGAATTAAAGAAACCTTTTGAAGATTTAAATTGTGAGGGTAAAATATTTGAAAATTGGAAATTCAATGGCATTGAAACCATCAAAACTACTAATAATAAAATTAATACTCCAGAAGGTGATGTCTTCAATTACGATGGATTAACTAAATTTAGTGGTATTAAAAAAATCCAATCATTTAAACTAGAATATAAAATTAATTATGAATTTTTGAATCAGGTGACCTGGCCGACTGTAATCAAAATTTATTCGCTCCGAATTTCGATTCTAAAGATTTTAGTACTGTTTACATACTAAAAGTAGAGTATTTACTCTACCGTGGAAAGAACAAGAAAAATACGGTATAACACTGAATAAAATAAATATTAAAATAATTAATTTTTTCAAAAATTATTTTATTTCTAATAGATTTTTGATGGAAATTGGCATAAATTATCAACTTATAGGGCTGAGAATTTCTTTTTTACCTTTTATGATTGCAAAGCGGAATTTGCGTTTAATATCACTGAGAATTCTGGGTTCTTGAATCCTAACAAAAATTTAAATTTTATGAATTCACGCGAATCTGTTACAATGATCCCATTTTTTGGAAGATTTGATGGCTATAATGTAATAATTCCAAAATACAGTACATATTGATTCCAAATAAATTTTATAATTTCAGGTTAGCATCCTAAATTTCACTGTTTACAGCCCTGCAAAACAAATTAATCCTAAGAATTGCGAGGATATAAAAAAATTAAATATGAAAAGCTTGAAATAATTTGGGCAAATAATTTTTTTTTCTTATTTTACAATTACTTTTAAAGATTCTTTTCGTAACGATCAATTTAAAATATGTTATATAAAAAATTACGAAGTAATAAAATAATTTTTTCTCCCTAATTATTCTACGTAGAAATCAAATTTTTCAGTGTCTCGGGTGTTTACCATCGGAATGGGGGCTTGAGTCACTTATCTGGCTTCCAGTTTTGATTCACTTTTTCTAAAGATATTGAACCATGAATGACAAGAACTAAATATATCGCCAAGGTGTCAAGCATTACTGTTTTATATGCACAAGTCAATTGCTTCTCGCAATCTCAACATTTGTGAATCCCAAGGTATGATTTATTTTTCAAAAAAAAAAAATTATCATCAAATTTGTTTTGAGGAACCTAGTGCCATCCTGTTTAAATTATATTTTACGTGGATCGACCATCTCCATTAATCTAAAAGATAAGCTCCATGACCAGTTCGATTTAACATATTTTGGTGGTTGTTCACATAGTTTGAATCACGAATTTGAGAATCACTTTAACCGAAGAATTAATAATCTCTTTTTGTCTCTTGCTCACCATTTTAAAATTCTAGGGTATGCTCATGTATGTAAAGAGAAGACTGACTTTAATATTGTTGATTGTTTTTAATCTTTACTGCATTACGTAAAACATGTTTATCACGGAAGAAAAATAAAAAATTTTGTATAATCAATAAATGGCACACAGTTTAAGAGTATATAGGCCTGAATCTTCTTAAGCCAAAAAATTTTTCAACAGTTTCATTTTATTGAGACAATTGTAGCTCTTATAAATTTGATTTTATAGAAAATTTTCAATCGAAAATAAGTCCCAGTTACATTGATTCCAATATAGGTTACTATAAAATTTTAAATCCATATAAATTGTCTTTTAATGTATCAGACGTTTTTTATCGAAAATAGTTTTAATATTTCAAAATTTATAATCGTTAGCATTTTGAAATTACAGCAATAGAACTGAAGATGCAATTAATATTTTTGATTTGAAAAATACCGATCGTTTTGAAGATAGGCGAGAAATTTCATTTTATATTATTAAAATTATTGCATGAGCGAGTCTCGTTTTAATAATGTGATTGCAGCCTCAATTTGGTCAAATAACTATAAATAAAATATAATTAAAATATATTGTATGTATGTGCATATTAACATAATGAATACCCTTGTCTTATAAAAGCTTACCCTTCCAAAAATAGAATGTTAAAAATAGTTTTTGTTCATTTGGCAAACAGAGTTAACTAAGAACATTCCTCTCTCTATTGATGAAATACAACTTTTATAAATGATGAAACACATTGTAGCCAAAAGTCTAATTGGAAAATTTTAACTCTTTTATAGCGGTTTATTGCTTTTTTTTTTCA